GAGGGGAGGGGAGGCAGGAAGCAGCTTGAAAAAAAGATCCAGTTGCTCACTCACTCTCCTTCAATCAACAAATGTTTGGGGAGGGGGAGCCAGGGTGTGGTGGGCAACCACCAAGTTAACCTTATTGCGTAGACAGTTGCCTACTCTTGAGTTTTAGCTGGACTTTTTGACTCACTTCAAAGAAATTGCAGAAGTAATGAGCTGTTACTCTTAAGATTAGTTTATGAAAGGCTGTGACGTCTGTCTTGGGTGTCTGCTCTCTCTTCTCTCCCACTCTTTACTCACCCACCCTGAGGGGAGCCAGCTGCGATGGTGTGAGCTGCTCTTTGGGGAGGCCCATGTGACAAACAATGAAGGGAAGCCTCTAGCCAACAGCCAGTGAGATCTGAGGCCCTCAGTGCAACAACCTTGAAGTGAGCTTGGAGGTGGCTTTTTTCCCAGTCAAGCCTTCAGATAAGACAACAGCTCTAGTTTGACAACTTAACTTCTATCTCATGAGAGACCCTGAGGCAGAGGCACCTAGCTAAGATATGCCCAGACTCCTGATTCATAGAAACTGCAAGACAATTAATTTTGTTTTCAGCTGCTAAGTACAGGGACAATTTGTTATGCAGCAGTAGATACAAGACCATAGAGCAGTGAACAAGCTAGGCAATCTCCCTGCTATCATGGAGCCTACATTCCAGAAGAAAACACAGATGAGAAACACGTAAATATGGATATTGCATATATGAGAGTGGTAAAGTAGGGCAATGTGGCAGGGAGAGATGGTGGGAGTGATCAGAAGGGCCGCCCAGGGAAGGCCTCTTTGAGGAGGTGGCATTTGAGCTGAGGTCTTGGGGAAGAGCATATCAGGCTGAGGGAATGGGAAGTGCAAAAGGCGCCGAGGCAGGGACGGTCTGGTGTAGTTCTTGGAGGAGAAAGCGCCGGGGTGGCTAGAGCACAGCCACTGAGGTAGAAGGGATGGGAGAGAAGTTGGAGAGGGGAACAGGGGCCTCACCATCTAAAGCTTCAAAGGCTGTGGTCAGGAGACTAAGGCACTTACTCTAAGGACAATGACCGGAACATCATCTCACAAAGATGAGTGGCTACATCAGGACTTTTCTTAAAGTGCAAGACCTTAGCACTTCCCCCAAGGCTCTCTCTCTCTTCCGCACCTAGACCTCTAAGTCACACCCCAGCCCGTGAGCAGTGCCCAGCCCAGGCCGCCCTGCCCTCCAGCCTCCTGCCGCCCACCTGCACTCTGCCCAGCACAGCCTACCTCTGAGGGCCTTTGGGAACCTCTGGGGCGGCTGCCGGAGGTTGGATCCAAACAGGAAGCAGAAGCCGGCCATGTAGATGTTCTCCTTGCAAGTCTGGTGCAGGGTGGGGCCGCAGGCCTGCAGGGCAGGGTGTAGGTAGGAGGGAGGGCGCCCTGTTTCCTGTCCTTTTACCCCAGGTCTCCACACCTCCCCTCACGACACTCCCTTGACCCAGGGGCAACTCACCAGCAGCCGGAAAGGGTTGCTGGCAAATGCCAGAGACAGACCCAAGGACATGTTCACAGCCTCTGGGGGTACTGAGAGGACAGATAAGTGCATGGTTACACTCAGGGAGATAAAAGGGCCTGTGTGAGATCGGGGTTCGATTCCCGGTCAGGGCACATGCCCAGGTTGCGGGATCGATCCCCAGTAGGGGGCGTGCAGGAGGCAGCCGATCAATGACTCTCATCGTTGATGTTTCTATTTCTCTCTCCCTCTCCCTTCCTCTCTCTGAAATCAATAGGACATATTAAAAATATATAAAATATAAAATTAAAATAAAAGAGCCTGTATAAGAGCTGGACAGGGGTCACCTCAACCTGGGAGACACAGAAGTCTGACAGGTCAAAGGGGCACCCAGGTCATAGGAAAAGAACATGAAAGGAGTGGCTGAGGGTGTTTGAGGTACAGTCGACCTACAACACAGAGACTGGGGAGCTACACCGCTGGGGCCCGGACCACAGACCTCCCGGAACAAAGGCAATGCCTGCCAAGTCCAGGTATATGCACAAGTAGAACCCTCGCCCTGGCTTAGGGAGGGCAGGGACTCACCCTGCAGCTGGACGGGCTCACAGGTGCCCGTGCTATAGTCACACTGGTAGAGGCCTCCTGTTTGGTTGGCAGCCTTTATCTCCTGGGGGGCTCCAACCACCAACCTGGGGGGAGAAGTGGGAACAGATCACCACAGGAATAAGAGAAAATTGACACGTGGCGAGAGAAGGCGGCCATGGAAGAAGTTCTGCCCTCAAAGGAAAGTTGGAGAGCCAGTCCTCACACAGATCCCCCAGTTCCTAGGAGCAGGAGGAAGACTCAGCGAGGAAAAAATGGGAACTTTTTAAATCTTAGCATGGCAAGGGCCTCTCTAAGAGGGACACAAAACAAAGAGGTGATTTAAAAATGATTAAATTCCCTCTCTTTCGGGGAGCCTCGAAGGTGGTCGGCTGCTTCAGGACCAAGCTGAGCATCTCTCCCAGGCACTGGCAGCCAGAAACTCACTGACATGGACGATGAACACGAACTTGGTGCCTTTTATGAGAAGCGTGTGGCCACAGAAGCTGCTGCTGACACTCTGGGTGAAGAGTGGGAGGGGCATGTGGTTCGAATCAGTGGTGGGAACGACAAACTAGGTTTCCCATGAAACAGGGTGTCTAACCCATGCTGTGTAAGGGACATTCCTGTTATAGACGAAGGGGGCTGGAGAGACAGTGCAGACCTGGTCGGGGTGCACTGGGGATCCAATCGGCAAGTTCTCGACTTGGTCATTAAAAACAGGGGAGAAAGACACTCCTGGTCTCATTGACACTATTGTGTGTCATCACCTGGGGCCCCAAAGATCTAGCAGGATCCACAATCTCTCTAAAGAAGATGATGGCCGCCAATACCTTGCAAGAAAGCCCCTCATCAAAGAAGGTAAGAAACCTCGGGCCAAAGCACCCAGGCCTCAGCGTCTTGTTACTCCGCACATCCTGCTCTGAAGACAGTGTACAGTACTAAGAAAACTGGGAGGAGGCCGCAGAACACGCTAAACTTTCAGCCAAGAGAGTGAGGGAGGCCACAGAACAATGTAAGAAAAAAGATTGCCAAGAGACATAGGCTGTCCTCTCTGAGGGCTTCTACCTCTGAGTCTGAGTCCAGTCCAAAATTAGATTTTTTTGCCCTGGCCAATGTGGCTCAGTTGGTTGGAGAGTTGTCCCCTGCACCAAAAGGCTGTGGTTTTGATTCCAGGTCAGGGCACATACCTAGGTTGTGGGTTCGGTTCCTGATCAGAGCACGTACAAAAGGCAACCAATTGATTTTTCTCTCTCACATCAATGTTTCTCTCTCTCTCTCTCCCTCCTCCCCTCTCTAAAATCAATAAGCATATCCTTGGGTGAGGATTCTTTTTTTTTTTAATGAGAATTTTTAAGAATAACAAATAAGATCAAACATCAATAAATATTTTAATTAATAAGTAAATGTGATTAGATTAAACCACACCATCATTTTAAGTAAATTTCTGTCTGCAATAAGCTACCGGAAGCAAAGTTAAAAGATAAATGATAAACTGGTGGGAGAGAGACTAGCAACTCATACCTCAGCCTAGTTTCCTCAATATAGTCATAGTTCCTACAATCCAATAAGGAAAAATAATAATAATAATAATAATCCAATAGAAAAATGGGCAACAGATAAGAAAAAAGTATTCACAGAAAAGGAACTAATCTCTCATTTATAAAGAAATGCAATTTAAAACTAAATTGAGCTACCATTTGTCACCTGTCCAATTTGCAAAGATCAGTAAGTTTGCTGACACACTGGATTGGTCAATGGGTGGCGAAATAGGTGTTTCCATCAATTTCTGGTGTGAGTATAAATTGTTGCCACCTCTACAGAGGGCAATCTGAAAGATCTATTAGAATTACACACATATATGTACCCTGTGATCCAACAATCCTAGTTCTAGAATTTACTTACAAATATATTTGCACATGTGCAAAATGAGCATTGTTCACATAGAAGAGGTGTGGAAACAATCGAATGTCCATTCAGAAGAGATTTAAATGTAACACAAATGTGAATGACAGCACCTCCAAATAACAGAGCATGATGGGAGCATAAAACACAAGTAAGCTCTTTATTCACTTATCTGGTAAAGTTGCCAAGCTCTATCAAGGAAAAAATGCAAAGGATGGTATAGAGCAGAGGCCAACAAACTTTATCTTAAAAGGTAATACTATTTCCATAAATATTAGTTTTTAAAGATAAATAATTTAGGCTTTGCAGGCCATATAGTCTCTGTCATAGCCTCTTTAGTTTTTTTTTTAATTGATTTTAGAGAGAGAGAGAAACATCGATGTGAGATAAAACCATTGATCAGTTATCCCCTGTATGTGCTCTGACCAGGAATCAAACCCCCAACTATTTGGTGTACGGGACAATGCTCCAGCCAACTGAGCCACCCCACTAGGGCTGTCATAGCCTCTTGATTCTGCCATTGTAGCTCCACAATAAATGATGAGTTGGGGTGCGGCAGTCAATAAAATGTATTTTCAAAAACTGGCAGCAGGCTGTAGTTTGAGTATAACATGTGCTACAAATTGTGTGCAGGAGGGGGGTTAGAAAAATGTAGAGGTATAACCACATAGAATCTCTCTGCAAGAACACACAAGAAGTCCTATCAAAATACCAATGGCATATTTCACAGAACAAAAACAATCCAAAAATTTATACGGAACCACAAAAGACCACAAATATTCACAGCAATCTTGAAAAAGAAGAACAAAGTTGGAAGAATCACACTACCTGTTATCAAACTACACTACAAGGCTATAGTAAGCAAAACAGCATGGTACTACTTTAGGCTTAGAGGATGTTTAGTTGCAACTTTCTTTGGTCTTTCCGAATCTGGGTTCATCTGACACCAGCTGCCTCCATCATGCCACCAAAGTTGACCCCAACGAGATTAAAGTCATATACCTGAGATGAACCAGTGGGGAAGTCGGTGCCACTTCTGCCCTGGCCCCCAAGATCGGCCCCCTGGGTCTGTCTCCTAAAAAGGTTGGTGATGACATCACCAAAGCAACTGGTGGGGAGAATCTGAGGATTAAAGTGAAACCATTCAGAGCAGACAGGCCCAGACTGAGGTAGTACCTTCTGCCTCTGCTCAGATCATCAAAGCCCTCAAAGAACCACCAGAGACAGAAAGGAGCAAAAAAAAACATTAAGCACAGTAGAAATACCACTTTTGATGAGATTGCCAACATTGCCCAACAGAGACGGCAACCATCTTTAGCTAGAGAACTCTCTGGAACCATAAAGAGATCCAGGGGACAGCCCAGCCTGTGGGCTGCAGTGCTGATGGCTACAGCCCTCATGACATCAGCAGTGGTGCAGTGGAATGCCCAGCTCATTAAGAACTACAAAAAAAGTATTTCATTTACAGATGATTTGACAACAATAACAACAACAAAAACAGCATATTACTGGCATAAAAATAGACATATAGATCAACGGAACAGAATAGAGAGCCCAGAAATAAACACATGCCTATATGATCAATTACTATTTGAGAAAGGAGGCAAGAACATACAATGGGGTAAAGATAGTCTACTCAATAAATGGTGTTGAGAAAATTGGACAGATACATGCAAAAAATAAAACTAAACCACCTTCTTACGCCATACACAAGAATAAACTCAAAATGGACTAAAGACTTAAATGTTAGACTTGAAACCATAAAAATCCTAGAAGAAAACATAGGCAATAAGATCTCAAACACTTCTTTTTACCGATATTATCTCCTTGGGGAAGGGAAACAAAAGAAAAATTAAAAGGGACTACATCAAACTAAAAAGTTTTTGCACAACAAAGGAAACCATCAACTAAATAAAAAGACAACCCACTGAATGGGAAAACATATTTGCCAATGATACATCTGATAAGGGGTTAATATCCAAAATTTATAAAGAACTCATACAATTCAACATCAATAAAACAAACAATCCTATTTAAAAATGGGCAGAGAACCTGAATAGACACTTCTCCAAAGAGGACATACAGATGGCCAAGAGACATATGAAAAGATTCTCAACGTCACTAATCATGAGAGAGATGCAAATTAAAACCACAATGAGGTATTGCCTCACACCAGTCAGAATGGCTGCCATCAACAAATCATCAAATGTCAAGCGTTAGCAAAGATGTGGAGAAAAGGGAACCTCGTACACTATTAATGGGAATGTAAATTGGTGCAGACGCTATGGAAAACAACAGAGAGGTTCCTCAAAAATTAAAAATGTAATTGCCTTATGACTCAGTGATTCCACTTCTGTGTATATATCAGAAGAAACCCAAAATGCTAATTCAATAGACCAGTGGATAAAAAATTGTGGTACAGCCTGGCCCAATGGGCTCAGCTGTTGAGCATCGACCTAGGATCCAGGAGGTCTCGGTTCGATTCCTGGTCAGGGCACATGCCCGGGCTGCCGGCTTGGTCCCCCGTTGGGGGCATGCAGGAGGCAGCCGATCAATGACTCTCTCATCATTGATGTTTCTATCTCTCTCTCTCCCTCTCCCTTCCTTTCTCGGAAATCAATGAAGATATATTTGGAGAAAAAAAAAAAGGAACTAAATCTTACCCTTAGTGACAGCACAGAAGGACCTAGAGAGTATTGTGCTAAGTGAAATAAGTCAGAGAAAGACAAATACCATATGATTTTACTTACATGTGGAATCTACGGAACAAAATAAACAAACAAAACTGAAACAGACTCATAGATACAGAGAACAGACTGATGGTTGCCAGAGGGGAAGGGAGTTGGGGGGCTGGGTAAAAACAGTGAAGGGATTAAATACAAATTGGTAGTTACAGAACAGTCACAGGGATGTAAAGTACAGCAGAAGGAATATAGTCAATAATATTGTAATAACTACGTATGGTGCCAGGTGGGCACTGGAAATATCAGGGGGAACACTTTGTAAAGTACATGATTATCTAACCACTATGCTGTACACCAGAAACTAATACAAAATAATAATGAATGTAAAGTGTAATTAAAAAATAATTTTTAAAAAAACCCTCCTGGAACCCAGCCAGCATGGCTCAGCAGTTCATCATCGACCTATGATCCAGGAGATCGCTGTTCAATTCTCAATCAGGGCACATGCCCGGGTTGCAGGCTCAGTCCTCAGTATGGGGCGTGGGAGAGGCAGCTGATCAATGACTCTCTTATCAATGATGTTTCTATCTCTCCCTCTCCCTCTCCTCCCTTCCTCGCTCTGAAATCAGTAAAAACATATTTTTTTAAAATAAATAAATAAATAAATAAATAAATAAATAAATAAATAAAAACCCTCCTGGGACAGGAACTGGGGGAGAGGAGTGTGGAGGATTTTTCACTATTACACTCTTTGGTATCTTCTGAATTTAGAACCCTGTAATTGTATTAACTATTCAAAAATAAATCAAGAAAAACAAAACAAATTTTTTAAAAAGGAAACTGCAAATCTTCAGGTATGTAGTCTTAGAGGGAAAGCGTGTGAGACAAGGAGCTCCACCGGTGGCCCTTACCGGGATCCCTCAAGCTGGACCACGCTCTGCCCGAAGCTCCTTGCATTATCTTGAAAGATCACTGGGTTTTCAGTGTCCAGGTTGAACCCATGACATAAGGCCAAGGCTGGAGGGAAAACAGAGGGGTGAGGGTCAGGAAGAGATAAGGGACATAGTTAAGAAAGCAGTTTGTCCTCCTGCTCCGTGCACCTTCCTGCCAGGATTCACCCTAGCCCAGCATGGAGACATCAGCCTTCCAGATCTAGCTCTGAGAGCCTGAGGCACAGGTTGGCACACTTTTTGTATAAAGGGCCAGACAGTAAAAGTTTTAGGCTCTGTGGGCCAACAGGCAAATAGAGTATATTATGTAAGTACTTATACAAGAGAGCAAATGCATTTCCACAAATTTTTCATTAAGGAAATTCAAAATACAATAATTGAGTACACTTTTTTGTAATACAAATTTGCTAATGACACAAATGGAATTCTTTGAGGGAGACAACATTTCACTTCACTGGGATTACATTAGGGTTGCCGATCATGAATCAATTACAAATGTCCATCTGCAGCCTAAGGCTCACAGGCTATAACACGTCAGTGGTGGAACCCTGGCCTTATGCCCATAGGCCACAGTTGGCTGACCCCCTGGCCTAAGACCACCAAGTTGGGTGCTTCCAGCCCCTCTCTGAGCCCCACCCTATGTGCCCACCCTGCTGACTTGCCCAATAACAAGTTCCTAAAGCCTCTCAGTTAGGCCATTTCCTTCCCATGCAACTCTCAAGCATTTCTTTCCCTTCTTCGACTCATTTGCCACAAAATACAGGCATAAAAGGTAACAAACTTAAATCATTTGATCCATACGTCATTCAACAAACATTTACAACTGGTTCCTTGAAAAATAGAACTGGAGGCGAAGTGGGGGGGG